TTACTTTTACACTATATGCACCCATACACTCACACATTTTTCCTCCTATCCTTTGATAAGGATATCAGCAGGATAGTTGGCTTTGTGGGGTGCGCCTCTGTTTGCTATTGGGAATAAGAAGAAGCATGCATATTTACGATCATTCACAATAGTCAAACCATATGTTTGTGAATAATGTCAAACAAAACACGACTGAGAGAATTGGAATAAAGTATATACAAAAGAATAAAAGATGATGACAGGAGCTTTTCTTCCTGATTAAATGGATAAATTTCGTCCCTTTTTGATTTTGCCTGCGAAGAAGATTGGATGCGTGGCTCCCTGTAACCGTCGAAGAAAAAAAAAACAACCAAAGTTTTTGAGAAGTGAATTCATCTGGTTTATTTGTTGAAACACATACACAAACAACACAAAATACAAACTATTTTAAAGAAAATCTGAAGCCTTTAAATAATTAAGCAACATTAAACGAAAAAAAGGCTAAAAATTGAAAGGAAATTTATAACAAAACAAATAGTTTTCAAAAAATTGAAAATTAAAAGAAAATTGAACCTTTTTTAAAATTAAACAAAGTTTGAAAACAATTTAACAATATTGAAAAAAAAAACCCAAACAATTGACTAAAATTCTAAAGCAATGAATATAAATCTTAAACCTAAAAATTCATGAAGAATTGGAGCCTACAAGCCACACCATCGCCCATCCAATCCATCGAGGGAGGCGCAGAGTTTACGCCATTGCTGCTCCAGCGTGGCTTGGTATCATTCCCAATTGACACTGAAACTTATTTAACTCCGGACAGACAGACGGACGACTAAGCTACATAATTAAATTCCGCGGTTTTTCCTGAAAAGAATAAATAAATTAAAAAGGGTGAACAAACGAGTTAATATTAAATTTTTTACTTACTTTGTGTTGGTATGCATGTACGCGACATTGAACTGAGCTCAATTCAAGGTTAGGTTACCAGGCATTGTTTAGATCGTCGATTTAATGTGGTATCGACCTACATTCCTTTGTTCGTCCTCATCTGGAATTGAAAGCAAGAAAATTATTATTTACATTCTTACCGAGGAATATAATTAAAAAGCTGAAACACGAACTAATTTGTACATACTTACGTTTTGGGAAAAAGCCTTAGTCACAAGCTGCCGTCAAGGTTCTACACTCTGGGTGCCCGCCGTTAAGCCCTAAAAGTACAAAAAGAAAAGAATACTTTCGAAAATTGATTTTTATTGGCAATTCTTTGTTTTTTTCTGAAATTTTTATATTATAATTCGCTGTAAATTGTTAGATTTTGATTCAAATTACGATGGAATGAATTGTTTTTTTTTGCCAAATATGTAATATAGTTTTAATAAATAGGTACTGGATTAAACCTGAAAAGATAAAAATGTCTTCGGCTTAAAGCCCTATTAAAAAGGTGGTGGGGATGGGATAAAATATGGTAAGTCAAGGGTCAGACCTGGGACGTCCAGTATGAGTAGACGTCATGGCGAGAGGTGTTCTCGGAGGGAGGGCTATCTCCTGGCTGGTCAGCCGCCAGGAGCACTGTTTCTGTGAAGAAAACTAATGTTATTTTGGGATTTGGTTGCAGTTAGGTGAACGTTTTCTTCTATTAAATTTTTTTTGTTGACATGTTTCAGGCTTCTTTTTACCCCCTTTTTGATTTAGTTTGAAGTCCGGTATGATTTTTTTTGTTTGTTCAACCGAAAAGATCTGCAAGTGGCAAGAACCAACCCCCAATCCGACGAGCCATAGCCGCGCTAAACGACAGCATACCGGCAACGCCACTTAATGGTCAACACAGCGATTTCATTTCGTTTTTCTTGAACACGGTTGTTACAAGTTTGACCTAGATATTTTATTTTAAATACAATGGATGCTGCTCAATGCTGAGCATATTATTCTTATTCTGAATATGAAATGCATATAAAATATAAATTTCAACAGGACAATGATCCAACACAAACCAGTTGTTTCAGGACAGCAATATATAGATATTATGGAAGGACCCGAGCAGTCATCGGATATAAGTCCAATTAAAATTTGTTGTGCAATTTCAAAAAGAATTCATAGCCTAATTACAGAAGGTAGTCTCATTTAACAATTTTATAATGGCAACCCTTTTTAAATTCGAACTCATCTATCAGTTTAAAATAAAAAGAAAAATTCCTTAAATTTTATGTATACCGATTGGCATATTTTCTATAAATTTAACAAAAATATTTTCTTAAACTGGAAAAATAAATAATGGAAAAATAAAAAATATATTTTCTAATGCATTTATGTACTTTATGATGGACAAATCTTTATATACTTTTATCTGAACTTCTGGTCAATAAAAGTCTAAATAGTATATATCTTAAATTCTTGATGCACATTATTCTCAAGATATAGCTATGGTTGTTAAAACTTATATTCACAGATTATATAGGCAGGAAAAAAATTAAACAATATTAAGAATTAAGAAATGTTTGCCACTGAACTCATATTTTTCGAACATTTTGAAGGAGGTTATTCTCATTTAAATGTTGTCAAAAGTAAAATTATTAAAAAATTGGAATCATATGTCTTTATGAGACTACCTTGTTTGTATAGTTATGCCATGGGCTTGGGCATAACAAGCCACAATATGAAAAAATTGTAATTTGTAAGTTCCTATGGATTACCTTGAATAATTGTATCATGGTTAAATGGCATTTACATTAGAACTTTTTCCGGGTTAACCTACTTCATGAGGATTTGTTTGGCATATATGCAATGGAATTGACAATTGAAACCCACTGGGTAAACGAAATCCGGAATAATGTAAACGTACTATTAGAATTATTAGATTCTTCATGCATTAATTTTCAAAAAGTTCAGATTGTATTTGTAGCTTGGCCCAGATAATTTGAAAAATAATTCTAATTTTATATTTTTTAAAATATTTGTTATTCTTTTGCACATAAATGTAATAAATTGTCCTGGTTTACGTCTACAAAAATGTCAAGACAATCAATATAGACAAATGGCAAATATATAAATGTATTGGTTAAATGGTTTATATCTTTGCTATTAGTTCCGTTACTGACCTGCATGAATAGTTTTGCAACTTTTAACCCCAAAACCGTTCCTTCACTCACAAAACTAGTAAATCTTTGAACCAAATTTTGAGGGAAAATAAAACGAATGACATTCTCTTTGTCTGTTTTTCCACAGGCAAATTTTTATTTGGCAAATACTGAGTGGTGCGAGGAAGAAAAACAAAAATTTGCCTGTTCAGAATTTGCCGTACACGCAAATTCTGCTTTGCTCTGTTCGTTGAAAACAATTTTGTTGACATTTCCTTTTGAACCTATTCGCTTTACTGACACGCAGCCGGCTTTTGTTTACAAACCTGTTGCTTTAATTTGTGCAAGTGAAATTTAATTTTTAATTTTTGCAATTTATATAATAAAATATATAAAAATAAATAAAAAATTAAAAATAATCTTAAAAATACAAACACTTTTGACCTTTATTTTCTTTCTTTTGTTTTTTGATTCGCAAATTTGGCAAAGAAAAATTTGCTAATGGAAAATCAAGCGAAAATTTCAAAAGAGAAAACAAAAAATTTGCCAAATAAAAATCTGCCTGTGGAAAAGCAGACTTTGCAAACTTTTTACTCGAGAAATTTGAACGAATAATAAAAATGGTAAACAGGAATGCCAACTTCTAATTGTCTGTTGTGTTGATTTTGAAATATTGCCACCTAATATTGTCATATTTCGTAGATTTCCGTTCCCGAACTTTTCAAATTATTTTGAACTCTGAGAACGAGTTTGGCATTGTTCTCTTTTACTAGCTTTACTATATAAAAAAGTACTGGAATAGAACAATTGTCTTTACAAAAATTCGTTTGTAAACACCAGGCTACAGTACGGCAACATACCAATTTATTTCAATGGCTCTTTGTGCATTATTGGGCTGTTCCATGGTATAATACATGGCAAAATAATAAAAGTAGTATCATTCAAAAATTCAAATACAAAACAACAAAAAAGTTGTTGTTGTTATATGTCAGTGAAAAAATTCTTTTTTTACATTTCGTTTTTGAAAAACGAAAAAAATGAACAATAATAAATTGAATAAAACGCAGTAAACAATTCCTCGGATAACATCAAGGGAAAAATCTACCACAGAAAGACGATGGTTAAGTCGGTTGGTCAAATTGTACCGTTTCCTTCAGCGTCCAAGAAAAGGGATGAACAAAACCAACAGACCCCCATTTCCTTGCAACCTGTATCTCACATTTCAATACATCCAGAAGCAACTATTGCATTTGTAGGATGCGTAAACGATGATGTTAGTCTATTGAACGTACATAAAATTACTATTTGTGAATTGTTTGTCACCCAATGTTCGCTCCAAGGGATATATAGTCGAACGAGCCAGTGCTAGTCGTTCGAGCTGAGGCTAAATAATTTAAACAGCCAAAACCAGAAGATTGTTAAAAAATAAAATAAAAATATGAAATTGATTTTTAAATTTCTTTAAAAACGCCTTTATTGCTTTCCAGCTGTACCTCAAAAGGAACTCCAGCTCTTCTAAAAAAGGACACTCAGATCTTCAACAAGAAGACATTATTCTCTATATATAATTTGATTAAAGGAGAATATACAAACACATTTCAAAATATGTTAAAATCACTAGAGTAAGACATTTTGTGGGTGAACTATATATCGTTTATAAGAAAACAGTCTTCAACTGGTCTATATAAGATCGCAACTTCTTCTGTAAAAATACCGCCTTTATCTGGTCCACACCCTCAGCTAGATCTTGAGATCCTTTGAAAGAACTCCAGTTATTTTTTATGAACACTTCCATCCATTTTCGAAATTATGTGTATACTTTATTTTGCATATAATCTTGGATTAGGGATATGAAGTTGTACAAAATGATTAAAATATGTATGTAAAGGTTAAAAATGTATTTTAAATATTTTATATTATGAGATGTGGATTAATCGCATGACATAGTAGCGGCCTGTTTGAATTCTGCGGCCTGTTTGAATTCTGCACCACTCCTTAAGATCAATGGAGCTGGTGAAGTCTTCAATTTGTGATTTAGACTTTTCTTCATCTTCGAACACATCGTTACTCCCATTTTGTTGGATTTCGTCTACAGTAGCATTGGCTTCGCTTGCCGGAATGTCTTGTTTTTCTGCAGTGTAATTGTCTGTGGGCTGCTTATCTATACTTTCAACTTCTGCGGGGACATCAATTATTTCATCTTTAACATTTGCAAAATCTTCTTTATCGTCTTTTTCATTTTTGATTAAATCTGAATTCGTTTTTTGTTGTTAATTCTTCAGTCCGTTGTTGTTTTTATTATGACAGTCTTTTGCAGAAGTGTCTTTGTTTTCGACAGTATACTCTTTCAAATCAGTCTCATTTCCCTTAATATCTTTCGATTTTTCTACATTTATTTCAGTTTCCGTGGCATTTCCATTTCCAAGGACTGTTTCTTTATCAGTTTCCTTTGAAGAGTTTTTATTCAGATCTTGTGATTTGGTAGAACCCATATTTTTATCGTCCTCAGATCCGTTGACTGTCCCGATGGGATTTTCCGAGCCTTCTTCTGCCTTACCAGGTTTTTGTTTATCTTTTTTACCAAAAGAAATACTACGAAAAGACCATTTTGAACATTCATTGGAAAGAGGAGAAAGTTCTTCAGTTGTGTCATCATTCTTCGTCTCCAATGTTTGTGATTTGGTATCATCTGCATTAACTCCTCTATTTTCACTATCTCCTACTTTCTCCGTTTTCATATCTTTATCATTTTCCACTTCACTATTATTCTCGGAAGATGACGGAACAGTTGCATCACCATTTAAATCCTTCTTATCAACATCTTAATTTTTTTCCAACTTTTCTGTGACTTCCTCATAACCGCCCTTTTTGTTATCAGTAGTAATATAAACTTATAGACCAACTTTAACAATTTGGGAAATTATTTTTTTTAATTGACAATTGTGTATATGTATTTTTAACATACACATACATATAAGTTATGTCGAATCCATTTTGGCAATGAAGGGTTGTTAAAAAAAAAAAAAAAAAAATGGTCATATGTGAGCATGAGGTTACCTAATTTGTTGTATCATGGTAGTCTCATTTGAGAAATTAATAATACAAGGAAAAACAATTTGGGGTTAATTTGAGCAAAAATATAACTATGTAGGCTTCTTCTGTCAAATATAAAGAAAAAAATCGCAACAAGAGTTGTTTTTAATTGATATTTCTCAACATAACAATATCTTTTTATTGGGCTACTCTTGGGTGTAAACCCAATGTTCGCCAAGTAATGGATGATATACTGAAATATGTGTCAAATATGTTGTTAGTTTGGCTACAGACACAAAAAAAGTATTAGCGTGGAAAGGCTTTAGGGCGAGACCTTTTTGCTTTTGTGGCGGTCTTCAAACCACACATAATTATCCCCAAGGGCGGGTAGATTTAGGGGAGTTGGGGAAAGCTAAGTAGCAACAAAACAAGGTACTGCGAGCGGGTAATCATAAGATTAGCTATGCCTGAATTAGTCATATATCTTTAATGACTGGCTTACGTTATTTTTTTTTCAAGATTGTATAGCCAGTACACTATTACCCGGTGCAGTGTAGCAACTACAATATTAATAACATATGCACAAAGACATAATACCCTGTACCACAGTGTGGTGAAGGGTATAATAAATAAAAAAAAAATGTG